CCTCAGGCTCAGCACCCCCAGTAGTAGCACCCACACGCTCAGCAACCCCAGAGTCAGCACCCCCAGGCTCAGCACCCTCAGCAGCACCAGAGTCACCAGTAACCTCGACAGGCTCGACTGCGTCTACCTGGGACACACCTGAAGGGGCAGGACCCTGAGGGGGGAGGGGGTCTACCGGGGGGGGACCTGGGACAAGGAAGAGCGGTGGTGGGGGGAGGGACGGAGTGCGGTAGGGGAAGAGGCGGTAGTAGGGGACCGACTCGTCAAACGTGACGTCCTGGGAGGACAGGACACGGCGAGAGGTGGGGTGGTAGAACTGCCACCCTGGCGCGTCAGGGGGGAAGCCAAGGAAGACGCAAGGAGCAGCACGAGGGGACAGCTTGTCCGCAGACAAGTCGCGGACAAACGCCCGAGATCCCCAGACACGGAACGCAGACGCATCGCCAACCTTTCCCGTCCACAGCAAAGCTGGGGAGGTCTCCGGCATGGAGACCCTGGGGTGAAGGTTGATCTGATGCGCCGCGTACCGAACCGCAAACGGCCACAGAAAATGGGGGGCAGCCGCATGCATCATGGACGTACGGGCGACGTCCATGACCATGCCAATGCGGCGCTCAGCAATCCCATTTTGCTGTGGAGAGTCCGGAAGCGTGAAGGTCTGGCGGATGCCTCGTGCACGACAGTAGGCTCGCAGAAGGCCAGAGGAGAACTCTCCACCTCTGTCAGAGTGCAGACGCTGAACAGGAAAGTCCGAGCCGAAGCTCTGCCTGAGCTGGAGACGAGCTGCGCGGATCCAGTCGATCAACACCTCAGTGACATCACCCTTGCTGCGCAAGGGGAAGACTGTGGTGTAACGCGAGTAGTCGTCAACCACCAGCAGGAAGTAGCGCTCGTGACCCTGTCCACGGACGCGGGCCGGGCCCCACACGTCCATGTGAAGCGTCTGCAGCGGGGCCTCTGTCGGAGGAAACTGGGAGGAGTGAGGGGCAGCCCGCTGCCGCCCCTCGACACAGGGGACGCAGGTAGGGCCAGGCCCCGGAGGAAGGGGAGGGAGGGACCGGGGAAGACCAGAGACAAGGACACGGGAGGCCATGCTTCGGAGACGAAGCAGGGAGGGGTGACCAAGGCGGTGGTGCCAGAGGAGAGTCTCGTGAGACAGGAGGCGACACGAACAGGGGGCAGACTCAGGACCAGACCTGGACGCTGCAGCAAACACCTGACCCGACGCAGCTACCTGACCAGACGCAGTGACTGGAGGAGACGCAGTGGTCAGGGTGTACAGGCTCGACCCCGGCCGACGGGTAAACGTGGCCAGGTGTCGGCCTGTCCGAGCGTCCGTGCAGTGGGTCACCCGCCGACTCGCAGGAGTGAACTGGTGAACCCCCGCATCCTGTAGGTCAGCACCACTCACCAAGTTCGTAGAGAACGAGGGAAGGTAAAGACCAGACAGGGTGCCAGAGGGGGCCGCCGGACACGGGAGGACAGTGGAGAAGTGAGCAAGGACAGGACCCCCAGAGGGGTCTGCCAGAGAGACTGCAACTGGCCGGCTAAGCGGCGTGAGTGTGGTGCGGTCTCGAAAGAAGGAGCGAGAAGCCCCCGAGTCAAGGGTGAAGGTGTGGGAGGCCGAAGCCGACGCAGAACCTGAGAGAGCAGACTCACCAGCACCTGAGGGAGCAGACGCACCTAGAGCAGCAGCCTCGCTAGCACCTAGAGCAGCAGCCTCACCAGTACCTAGAGCAGCAGTCTCAATGCCCGGATCGGGCGGAAAACACCGGTAACAGTCACCCTCATCACTAATAGTCACAGTATACATGGCAGCAAGAATAGCATCAAAGTCAAGGTCAAAGACAGCCACACCCGCCCTAGACAGCTCACCCCAGCGGGGGATCTCAGTGGCCTCAGGGAACTGGTGACGCCAAGCGTCCGTCAGGCGGCCAAAGCAGCGCTGGGTGGAGTGCGCACCCCCGCACTGCTCACCCGCGCGGTCGCCGGTGCGGAGGACGTAGGTGCACGGACCAGTACCCCCACCCCTCTGGCGTGCAGTGTACCACTCACGGAGCTGCTGAGGGGAGGGGATGTCACGAGTGCGCTGCTGGTGGTGCTGCTGCTGCTGGCGCTGACCACCACCGGAGCCGACCCTCTGCGCAGCGCCACCCCGACCAGCTCCACCTCCTCCGCCGCCTCCTCCTCCACCGCCGCCACCTCCGCTCCCTCCGCCACTGCCGCCTCCGCCTCCACTGCCGCCACCGACACCTCCACCCCCGCCACCACCCCCACCGCCACCCCCACCTCCTCCACCGCCTCCACTGCCGCCTCCACCGCCCCCGCTAGCTCCTCCAGCGCCCCTGCCCCCCTTGCCCTTGCCAGGGCGGCGTCTCCCGCTAGGGGTAGACGCCGCACCGACCGACTCAAGCCCAACGAGGTCGGCCGCAGCAGCAGAGGCAACAGAGGGCAAAAGGGGGGAGGGGGAACACCCCTCAAAGATGGGGGTGCGAGGGTCACCACGAGAGGCTCCTACAGCTACTATGCTCTTCTCTGCTGCTAGGAGGGACTTCTCGAGGAGGTCAACGGTGAGAGTGGTGGGGCAAACTGAGAGGAAGTGGTCCCTGACTACGCGAAGGGAGTCAGGGAGCCGGGTGACTATGTAGTAGAGGGTGATGTACATGGGGGGGGGGTTCTTGGCGCAGAACTCAGCAGGAAGCGCAGCGCGGTAGCGAGTGTCACTAGTGCGTAGGTGCGTAATGAGGTCAGCGACTGTGGGAAAGGCAGCAAGGTCAGGGAAGAGGTACGGTAGCATGAGGCGACTCAGTGCAGCAGTGGCAGGGGAGGAGTAGCGTGCAACTACAGCGTCGTACAAGGTCTGAGCACTCTTGTACTGGCTAAAGTGCGCACGCTCAGAGGTAGGCAGGTGGCGACGCACAGCAAGACGTGCAGCAGCATCGCGCGTGGCCCACTGGGAGCGAACAGTGGCGTCAGCATCAGTGGCGGGGGCAGGAGAGGCACCAGAAGTGAGGTCAAAGAGGGAGAGGCCGTCTGCCCTATCGCACTGTAAGAAAAGCTGCAGGTCATCTATCCAGACGTCAAAGTCAATGGCCCGACCCTCAGCGTCAAAAGTGAGGACACTAGGGGTAGCCATGACAGCAGTAGACTAGCAGCGCAAACAGTGGGGTGAGGGCAGTGCTGTGAGAGAGGCGCTGCTCTTACCGGACAGGGCGGCTCGGGCGGCTCGGTTGCAGGGCGGCTCGGCGACTCGGCTGCTGGGCGGCTCGGCGGTTCTGCTGCTGGGCGGCTCGGCTGCTGGGCGGCTCGGCGGCTCGGCTGCTGGGCGGCTCGGTGGCTCAGCTGCTGGGCGGCTAGGCTGCTGGGCGGCTCGGCGGGGCCGCTGAGAGGGCGGCGTCCGGGGCCGCTGGGAGGAGGCGGCGGGGCCGCTGAGAGGAGGCGGCGTGGCCGGAAAGGTAGGTGGCGGGGCCGCGTCAGGGGCCGCGACAGGGGCCGCGACAGGGGCCGCGACAGGGGCCGCGTCAGGGGCCGCGTCAGGGGCCGCGGCAGGGGCCGCGTCAGGGGCCGCGGCAGGGCCGCGTCAGGGCGCCGCGTCAGGGGCCGCGTCAGGGCGCCGCCAGGGGCCGCGGTAGGGGCCGCGTCAGGGCCGCGTCAGGGCCGCGGCAGAGCCGCGTCAGGGCCGCGTCAGGGGCCGCTTCAGGGCCGCGGCAGGGGCCGCAGCAGGCCGCGTCAGGGCCGCGTCAGGGGCCGCGGCAGGGCCGCGTCAGGGCCGCGGCAGGGGCCGCGTCAGGGCGCCGCGTCAGGGGCCGCGTCAGGGCGCCGCCAGGGGCCGCGGCAGGGCCGCGTCAGGGCCGCGTCAGGGCCGCGGCAGAGCCGTGTCAGGGCCGCGTCAGGGGCCGCTTCAGGGCCGCGGCAGGGGCCGCGGCAGGCCGCGTCAGGGCCGCGTCAGGGGCCACGGCAGGGCCGCGTCAGGGCGCCGCCAGGGGCCGCGTCAGGCCGCGTCAGGGCCGCGTCAGGGCGCCACCAGGGGGCGCGTCAGGGGCCGCGATAGGGCGCCGGCAGGGGCCTCGTCAGGGCGCCGCCAGGGGCCGCATAGGGGGCGCGTGGGAGGCGGCGTAGGGGCCGCGTAGGGGCAGCGTAGGGGCCGCTAAAAAAAATTTTAGGGCAGGGCGCAATGTGCGCGGGCAGCTAAAAAAAAAATCTTATGGTGGGCCCTTAGGAAGGAACGGTCCCATGTAGGAACCCGCTCTATACCATGTGAATCAAGAAAACAGGAATGAAATGACTAAGTGAAAGTTGGGTACAAAAGGCAAACCCTAGGCAACTGTACCCCATATGTGCTACCCCACTATAGCCTACAGTAGCTATGTCATATAACTCTGACAAATACAGCAAATATAAATATGAGTACAGGGGAGATGAAACGACCTAGCTAGCCATGTACTCTAAGGGGTACATTCCCTTATTCAAATACATTCCCAACCGTGCGGCGCGAACAGTTACGAAACTGTTCCCGCCGAAGCCATCCTGCCTGCAGCTGCCTGATGCTGTCTGCTCCGACGGTTCAGATGCGTCCCAACTGTCTGACGCTTCGAGTCGTTTCCAACCGTCTGACGCTTCGAGTCGTTTCCAACCGTCTGACGCTTCGCGTTCATTTGCGATACTGCGTGCTTCTCTTTGCTGCGGTGAGGAGTGCACAGTAATATTCAAGTATTACTATTCGTAACACATAAAACCCGGCCAGCTTGGAGGGGAAAGAATCAACAAAAAAAATCGCACCCATTCAAAACAGCACATAATTCTAACAATCATAAGGAAGACGAATGATAATCAACGCGGATATAATTGAATTATTGAACCTTCTTAGTTGTGCGACACGTTTAGTCATGCCAGTTCTCATGCCTCCACGTCTCGCGTAACTGAGCAGTAGTGCCTGACGATTTGTTGGTCCATGCTCCAATACTTGGGCATTTTGCGCAACGGCTTGATGTCCAGATCCATTATTGAAAGCTGCATCCAAAGGATGAGAGGTAAGGGGAGGGGGGAAGGGGGGTGGGAACAGTTTAAAAAAAGAAGCAGCTGACAACAAGTAGCAGCTGACAACAAGAAGCATCTCACCCTGTAAAAGTACTTGCACCCGCTGGATGGGCACACAACACTGCGAAGCTTCTGTGAAGCTTCCAGGGTCTCTCCAGGAATGGCTGCTCGGAGGGCCAGCATGATCCCACAGTCCTTGGCCGTCGCTGCGATGAGGAAATTGCGAAGAACCTTCCTGCAATCTTCCGTTATCTCTTTAGGAACCTCAGGACCAACAGCAGCACCACCACAAGCAACACTAGCAGCAGGGGCTGAAGGCATTGACTTCCTCCGGTTCATGTACTCGTTATAAGCATGAATCGCCCCTTCAATATCCCACTTATCCAGCTTCTGTGCTGCCAACAACTTCTCCAGCGCCCCACACTGCACGAGGCACTCTGTGGCGAGGGATAAAAGAGCGTCCACCCGAGGGTGAGTCAGATGAGGTGCGGCGGACAGTGATTCTGCTGCTGCTGGCGAATCACTGCTGGACTCCTCTTTCCCGGCAGACACAAAGCCTTCTAGAGCTGCTTCAGCAGCAGCCAAGCCTGCTGCCTCGTGCGCTTTCTCCTCCCTTCTCATAGCTGCTAAATCCACCGAATTCACTCTTTCAACCTGCGCCTCCTCTCCCACCTTTTCCCCCTTTCCCCCCTTCCCTTTCCCCTTTTTCCCCTTCCCCCTGTCCGCCTGCCTGTGTATATGCCCCCCCAGCAGCAACTTCCCATCTGCAAAAATCCTCAGATTGTTCTGCGGGTTATCGATCAATGTTCTCAGAGCAGACAGAACGCGGGGGGGCGAGGAAGAGAAGAGGTCTAGAGGGTTGTATGCACTGCTCTCTGCCACCTCCCCCTCTGACAGCTTCAGCTGCTGGTGCATGGGGAAGCGCGGGACAGCTGTCTTGACGTGATTGGCCGGCGCGATGCAGGGAGAGGAGGGGCAAAACCCGGTCTTGGGCTGGAGGGGAGGGAAGGGGGGATGGATTTGGGGGTGGGGAGGAGAGGAAGGGGAAGAGAACAGGAACGGGAAGAGCGGAAAGGGAAAGAGAAGCAAAGAAACATGGAGCTGAGGAAGAGAAGAAGAGGTCTATGCGTTGCTCTCCGCCACCTCCCCTTCTGAGAGCTTCAGTTGCTGATGCATGGGGAAGCGGAGGACAGCTGTCTTCACGTGATTGGGCGGCGCGATGCAGGGAGATGTAGGGCGAAACCTAGGTTTGGGCTGGGGGAAGGAATAAATGGGGGAGGAGGGAAGAGGAGACACAAGGAGGATGAGGGAGGAAAGGCAGGGAGGGGGAGGGGCTATGCTGCGGAAGACGCAAGACGCACATTTAGACGCTAGATGCTTGGGCCAAAATTTTCCGGTCAGCCCGAAAAAAAAATCGCGCGCGCAAAATTTAATTTCGCGATTTCGAAGCGAAATCCAATTTCGCGACATTTGCACCCCCTCCCACCCATTTCGACCATAGAAACCAGCCCCCCAAGCAAATTTGATACTCCCCCAACCAAAATTGAACACAAACCTCACTGCACCGCTTAGTATTTAGAAAACCCAACCTCTATGGCAAACCACCAAGAGGTTGGGGAGCACAAATCCCCCATTTGTGCTCCCCATCTTTCATTTCTACCAAATTCTCTTTCAAAAACCCTCTAGGGTTTTGCTAGTTCCCTCGCGAAACCATGTGAAGATCTTTGTGAACTCTAAGTATGGGGAAAAAGTTATGGTGCGGCAAAAATTTGACCCAATTGTGACATATGTGCATGCCCCCCACCCTCCCCATGCCCCACAGAAGTTTGTTTAGGCTGCCCGAACTTTTTTTTTAGGCCTGCGTGGGCTTTCGTCTAAACCTGCGTCTAATCTGGCCTGAAATGCGTCTAGCGTCTTAGACGCTGCGTCTAGACGCAACCGTCTAAGACGCTAGACGCGTCTTCCGCAACATAGGGGAGGGGGAGGGGGAGGGGGAGGGGGGAAGAGAGAGCAGGGTAAGGGGAATTCGCAGATCTGCTTGAGTCCAAGGTGGGAGGAGAGGCAGACACCGATCTTGGGACTGGCACGATTGCTCACCCAAACCGTTCCACAGCACCCCACCCCACTCCACACCACCCCACAGCACAGCACAGCACACCAACGTTTACCTTCCACAAGCATCTCTCACCTTGAGCTCGATACAGAACGTGGTGCCATTGTAACCGCTACTGCAGCTGCCAGATCGGTCCACCCGCACCGTCTCCTCCCAGTCCTCCTCCCACTCCTCGTTCTCCAGGTGCAGGTGGGTCAGATCCGTCACCAGCAGCGCCTCCTCTATTTGCAAATCCACGTCGCCCTGAGCCTGTCGCCAGGGAGGCCGCCTTGGCCGTATGTGGTCTGCTACCTCCTGCAGAAAGCTACGAGGAACCTTCACCGTGGTCTGCGGGTAGGGGGCAGGGAAACAGGCAGGCAGGCAGGCGGGCGGGCAGGCAGGCAGGCAGGCGGGCGGGCAGGCAGGCAGGCAAGCAGGCGGGAAGGCGGGAAGGGAAAAGCAGTGGGGAAGGGAAAAGCAGTGGGGAAGGGTGGGTGAGTGAGTGGGGAGTGTGAGCAGGTGGGTCAGATCTATCTGCAGGTCCACGTCGCCCTGAGCCTGACTCCAAGGGGGGCGCCTTGGGCGGATGTGGTCCGCTACATCTTGCAGGAAACTGCGAGGAACTTCACCGTGGTCTGTGCAGGGGAGAGGAAGGGGGAGGCGGGCAGGCAGGCAGGCACGTGGGCAAGGCAGGAAAGCAGGCAAGACAGGGAGGCAGAGAGGCAGGAAGGAAGGCAGGAAGGAAGAGGGGAAGAAGTGGAGAAGGGCGAGAGAGTGAGGAGTGTGAGCAGTGAGTGCGGGCCGTGAGCAGCAGTGCCTCTCCTATGACTGTAGTGGCGCCATCACCCGCGCCACGTACTGATGCAGCAGGTCGATGCGATCTGGAGCCACTGCCGGCGCTCTAGCGCCAATTCAGGACTTGAGACGTTTCAAAGCCGTAGTCAGCACAGCACTGCCCTGTAAGGGCTAACCACTCACCCCTGCCTCAAGGGATTCTTCTCCTATGACAGTGGCGCCATCACCCGAGCCACGAACTGATGCAGCAGGTCAATCCGATCCGGAGCCACTGCCAGCTCTCACGCACCAAGCCAAGTCCTGAGATGCCTCAACTATTACAGCACTCACCCCTGCCTCCACGAATTCGTCTCCTATGAGTGGTGCCATCACCCTCTTCACGAATTGATGCAGCAGGTCGATCCGATCCGGAGCCACTGCCAGCTCCGGCACCACTTCTCCCCACAGCTCCCGCTCCTCCGGACGCAGCACAGGCTCGGGCTGCACCGAGCCTGTTGCCGAGGCTGATGCGGAGCCTCCGGATAAGGACTCCCCAGCGACGACCTCTGCTTCTGGATGGTGGGAATCGGGACGTTCCTTGCACACCCGCAGCACCATGCCTTTCTGAGGGTACAAGGGTTTTGGGGAAAGCAGGAGAGATAGACAGTAGGAGGGGCAGACAGTGCGAGTGTGAGTGACAAGGGTGGTAAGAAGATACGACTGTTCGTATGTTCTTACCGTCACGCTGTCGGTGCGCAGGGGAGGACAGAGGAGCAGTGGCAGGGGCGAATGTGAGCAACAAGAATGGTGGGAATCGGGACGTTCTTTGTACACGCGCAGCCCATGCCTTTCTGGGGGTACACGGGTGTTTGGGAACGCCGGGAATGGAGAGAGAAAGGGGAGCTGAAGATGAGGGTGTGACAGGCAAGGGTGCGGAAATACAGCCGTTCTTGCTTATATGCAACACCATGCCTGACATGAAAACGAAAAAAAACAAAAAACAAACAAAAACACAAAGAAGGCGGAATATGCAGTTTAATGGTTGCAATGTGCGACCAAAAAGAGGTAATACCGTGCGTGAAATACGCAAAACTAGCTACCAGGAACGGGTAAAAAATATGTGTTCTTATCAAAGAAGGCATTTATGTGGACTTTGAAGAAGCACCAGAGAGGAGTTGGTAACTGCTGTCGTTCCTTTCATTCTTTCCTTTCCAGGAGCCACAGAACTAAACCCGTCAACCTTAGTTGTGTTTTTAATATTTTCATTTGATATATGACGGACGGCTCACCAGGGACGGATCGTGGCCGCAGTAGGACATGACGATGTTCGCGGAACCTTCGCCACGATACGCCCAGTCGAGAGGATTCAGCTGTATTTTACTCCTACTAGCGTCGTTCGCGCCAGCACATGCTATCCCTGCCGCTGCTGTTGCTTCGCATGTCGCAGGTCCTGCTGCGACTGCTGCGACTGCTGCGACTGCTGCGTCCGCATCTGACGACCCGACGCCAGTCGGTGCCATACGTGGCGAAATGCGTTGCGATATGCGCGATGACAATAACGGAACTTCGATCCGCGACCACAGAGCACTGCAACGCGAAACAAGCGCTTAGCTGGAGGCGAAATGGAGCTTCTAGCGAAGAAAGACCCTAACGACGGAGAGCAGAAGTTTGCAACTTCTATCAATGGAAATTAGAACCTGAAACACAAGCAAGGAGGGATAGAGAGGATATATGAGGTCGTATCTCCAGCAAGTGTCAAGAGGGGCTAGTGTCATGACACCAACTCGAAAACACATGGAAGACTATCCCTCCTGGTGTCAGCTAAACCAACCAATGAGATCGCGGGAAATCGTCCAATGTGCCCAACATTGACACCAGGCTGGAGCCGCGCTCACACGCGGCTCCACTTGGTGTCAACCGTAAACAACGCTTGACACACGACCTGAAGTTGCTGAGGCAGCAGGATCAAACCTTCCCAAGCTTTCAGTTTCGTCATTCCCAAGAGAGCAGCAATGAGGGCGCTGAGCGGCGCGGTAAGGTGCTTTACGTGTCAGAATGGTATTTTGCATTCCAGAGCGGTAGGTGGTGTAAACTTGACACGTCAAGCAAATGGGGCACTTTTGAGCCGACGCGGACGGAACTTTTGTGACATGTCCTAAACCAAGACTATTATTGGCTCGCTTTTAACGTGTACGAAACTCTTGTGTTGCAACATAGATCTTGTAGGGGATTGGTGTTTGGGTATACAGTAGTTCGCATATCCCTTTTTCCGTTGCTTGTCAAGAAGACTAAAGACAATTCGATAGATCTTTCTAAACTTTCCGAAACCTCTTTAACCACGCCAAATACCGTAAGGAACTTGACGACGATCGCGATACATGTGGCTCGGGGGCGATCGGTGCTCACAGCTTCGGTATGTGATCCCGACCGTCCTCCGGTGTTGCAAATCTAACGCGTCCTCATACCGGGCCGTACCATAACGTGCCGTGCCGTACAACAGTTTTAGGTTTTCCTACTTGTACCCACCCCCTTTCCTAGTGCATTCACCCTTGTTCATTCTGACATGGTATTACGAGCCTAGGTTAGCCACCTAGGACTGCTTACTACTACGGGCCTATCGTTCCGCTAGAAGCGCCCTCGTGCGCCCTTCCTTACTCGCGCCCTCGTGCGCCTCTCTCTGCTCGTGCGCCCTCGCGCGCCCCGCCTCTCGAACCGCGTGCGCGCAGCCCGCTAGCCGCCCGCGCGCAGCTCACTAGGCGCCCGCGCGCAGCCCGCTAGCCGCCCGCGCAGCCAGCGCCGCCCGCGCGCAGCCTGCACCGGCCTCGCGCAGCCCGCGAGCTAGCCGTCCCGCGCGCCGCAGCCTCGCACGTAGGCCGCCGCCAGGGCTCTGGATTCGTTTTAGAGTGCCCTGTCTTATCAGAGTTGGGATGCACAGCACCCTGCCTCTGCAGTGTGCCCTGACAGCCATACCCAAGAAATAGCAGTGTTTTTTTTCAAAAGTTCGTATATGGCAGTGTGTTTTTTTTTTCACACTGCGTTGCATTTTTTTTAAGTTGTCTAACTTAATTGAAAATGATACCTACGCTATAAATACTGACACTACTACGATTGCACCAATGACATCCTACACTAAAGTCGATAAGACATTATCTTGACTAAAGACTCTCCTAATAACTAGCATTCTCATGGCGAGTCTTCATTCCCTTGGCTGTCGTGCCATGTCATTGATATGCCTTTCCCTATACCCCCACTGTGTTCACGCAACATGCATCTAAGATCTCTATCCAATTCCCTTCACTATTAAAAAAAAAAAAGCTTGCTAACTGAATGTTGCATCCTACCTAGTCTACGTCCTGCATGTGGCTCTGGGGGGAAAACGGATTAGGCAGGCTGGTATTTTCCCCACGTGTGGTGTCCCTGGTGGGCCTCCTCCTCCTGCTCCCCCTAAAAATCTCCACAACCTGCATCCAGTCCACATCATAGTCCAGCATCGACACGACCATGAGCTCTGAAAGCCGAGAGTCGCTCAGGTTGATGCGGGTCCACGACTTGATGAGGTTTTGCTTCGAAAAGCCCCTCTCACACTCCACCGTGCTGAGGGGCAAAACAGCAACTGCTTGCCACAGCTTCACAAGGTTGGGATACTCTTCAGCCCACTCTGTCCGCAACATGTTCCCCAAACTTTGCGAGAAAGTTTGGTGGATGTGGCGGCTCTTGAGAATGGTGGTGAAGAGGCGCATCTCCCGCTGACATGTATCGAAACAAACACCTGATAGGGGTGGGATAGAATAAGTTTCGGACAACACAAAGAAGAGGTACATTCTAAACAAGAACTTGAACACAACATGGAGTTTTTTGCACATGTGCATATACAAAAATGAAAGATTCACCTGGAAGGCTGCCATTGTACATGTCCTTGAGCATGTGCAACCAAGAGTTGAATTTTGCCTCCCGTTTACCTGCACGCTGCGCATAATGGTTGAGCTTGAACAAAAGCGCCCCTTCCAGCATGCGCAAGTTTGCAAGTCGCTCCCTCACTGCCCCCACAACCTCCCTCACAAACCGGGTGCCAAGCTCGACACAACTCTTGTGATCACCAGCAGAGCTGTGATTGGGCAGCATGCGCTCGTGCAGTTCCATCTCGAGATCCACAGAGCTCCCTGTCAGACATATATGATATAGCCTATGTAGGCTGTAGTGGGGTAGACAATAGGGGGTACAGATATTCTAGGGTTTCATACTTGTACCCCACACATTCCTAGTCAATTCATTCCTCTTTCTTCACATGGTATAGAGCGGGTTCCCTAGTGGGACCGTTTCTTCCTAAGGGCCCACCATCTATTTTTTTTTTTCCTACCTTGCCCGAAGTGCGCTTCGCGCTCTGACCTGCCCTACCCTTTCGCGACCCCTTAGCGGCCTGCCCTGCTCCTAACGCCCGTCGCGGTCCCCCTTTGCGGCCCCTTCGCGGCCCCTTCGCTGCCCCTTCGCGGCCCCTTCGCGGCCCCTAAGCGCCCCCCCCTTCGCGGCCCCGTAGCGGCCCCTTCGCGGTCCCTTAGCGGCCCCTTCCCGACCCCTTCCCGGCCCCTTCCCGGCCCCTTCCCGGCCCCTTCGCGGCCCCTTCGCGGCCCCGTAGCATCCCCTTTGCGGTCCCTTAGCGGCCCCTTCCCGGCCCCTTCGCGGCCCCTTCGCGGCCCTGTCAAACATTATATATGTTTCTGTTGTGTAGGCTACAGTGGGTTAGCCTTTAGGGGGTACATTTCTCTAGGGTTTGCTAATTGTACTCCCACAACTTTCTAGTTGACCACTTCTTGATTCTGACATGGTATTAAGAGCTTAGGTTCTAGACCTAAGGGACCACCGTTCCGCTAGAGGTGCCCTCGTGCGCCCCCTTTTTTTTTAGCGCCCTCGTGTGCCTCTCCCCTAGTGCGCCCTCGTGCGCTCTCCTCTCACGCTGCCCGTGTGCAGCCCGCTAGCAGCCCGAGCGCGGCCCCGCCGTTCTAGCGTGCGTAGGAAAACCGCCGCCTAGGGCGGCCCGATTTTTTCTCGCGAGCCCCAGCAGGCCGTCGCCCGTAGGCCCCGCTCGCCCCTAGGCCGACGCGCGACCCACAGCCGCCCGCCCGCAGGTCGCAGCCAGCGCGCCGCGGCGATCGCGCGTCGGCTGCTGCAGCTCGCGCTTAGCCGCCGCTAGAACGCAGCCGCGGCCCGCGAGCAGCTACACCCTAGGCGCCGCCGCGCACCGAGCCTAGGCACTCGAGTCTGCACTCTGACAGAGGTGGTGAGTTTTCCTCTGACCTCTTGGCAGCCTACTGTGCGGAGCACGGCATCCGCCAGACGTTCACTCTCCCGGCCTCTCCGCAGCAGAATGGGGTTGCTGAGCGCCGCATTGGTCTTGTCATGGAGGTCGCTCGTACCTCCATGATCCATGCGGCTACCCCCCATTTCCTGTGGCCGTTTGCAGTGCAGTACGCCGCGCATCAGCTCAACCTCTGGCCCCGTGTCTCTGTTCCGGAGACCTCGCCTACCCTGCGTTGGACGGGGGAGGTTGGCGATGCGTCGGTGTTCCGAGTCTGGGGATGTCGAGCCTTTGTCCGCGATACGTCCGCGGACAAGCTCTCCTCCCGTGCTGTTCCCTGTGTCTTCCTTGGCTTTGTCCCTGACGCGCCGGGCTGGCAGTTTTACCACTCCACCTCGCGCCGTGTCTTCGCCTCTCAGGACGTCACCTTTGACGAGTCGGTACCCTTTTACCGTCTCTTCCCCTACCGCACTGCCCCGCTCCCCCCCCCGCCGCTCTTCCTCACCCCAGGTGTCCCGTCGGTAGACCCCCTCCCTCCCCAGGGTGCTGCTCCCTCAGGTGTTTCCCAGGTAGACCCGGTCGAGCCTGTCGAGGTAGCTGTTGACTCTGGGCCTGCGCCAAGTGCTGAGCGTGCTGAGCCTGGTGGTGCTGAGACTGGGGGTGCGGAGCCTGGGGGTGCGGAGCCTGGGGGTGCGGAGCCTGGGGGTGCGGAGCCTGGGGGTGCTGAGTCTGAGGGTGAGGAGACTACGGGTACTGAGCCTGGGGGTGCTGCGACTGGGGGTGCTGAGCCTCGAGGAGCTGAGACTGGGGGTTCTGAGACTGACCGTCCTGCGCCTGTTGGCGCTCCCTCTTCACAGCAGCTGCGTGAGTGGTACTCCCAGCAGTACAGCCTCCGTCGTGGGACTACTGGAGCTGGGGGGTCTGCTGGAGTCGGGACTGGTGGCCCTGCGGGTGCAGTGTCGGGGCCGGAGCCTCCCTCCCCTCAGCGGCTACGTGAGTGGTACGCTCGGCGCTGCAGCCTCCGGA